GTTTGTAAAAGAGGTTAGAGGTCGTTCTGAATACAATATGGTAATTTTGTCCTAGGACCCTTCTTTTATCCCTACTGAAGCTGCTTCAAAAAGCAATGATCTTGCAAAAATACAACTTGCAAGCACCTTCAAAGCTTCTTCAATGTGGATAAAATATTTTTTAAAACATTATAATCTTGCCTTACATCGAAAAACAAAAATCTCACAAAAAATGCTCGCAGACCTTGAACAACAATTGCTCAATTTTCAATGGTGCATAATTCAGTTACATTATAGAAAAAATTATTCTCTAAGCAATATTGTAAACATGAATAAGACCCCGTATGGTTTGACATGGCTGGTGATTTCACTGTTGAGCAAATTGGTGCCAAAACTGTTCATATTCGCACAATTAGTAATGAGAAGAATCGATTTACCGTAGTTTTGACATGTTTTGCTGATGAACGAAAGCTCCCTCCTACAATTATATTCAAGAGCCAAAGATGGTCTAAGACCAAACCTCCTTCTTCTTCTGGTGTAATTGTATTTTTTCATGAAAAGGGTTGGATGAATGAACCGGATATGCTAGCTTGGACTGATAGCTATATTGAAGGTTGTTCAGGTGGTCAGAAAAATGAACCTTCTCTTTTAGTATTTGACTCATTTAAGGCACATCTTACTGATGCAGTTAAAGCAAAGTTGCATGAAAATAATAATGATCTGGTTGTTATTCCGAGCGGCTTAACCTCTGTGTGCCAACTACTTGACGTTTCTATTAATCAATCTTTTAAAGTAGCGCTTTGTCATTACTGGCATAAGTGGATGGCAAAGGGTGGTTCTGGTAAAACCAAGAAAGGGAACTTAAAACGTGCAGAACTGCATATTATTTGTGAGTGGGTACTTTCTGCTTGGGCAGGAATTGATCCTGAAATTATCCGACATGCTTTTCGTAAATGTTCTATTTCTAATACGATGGATAGGTCAGAAGATGATGAAATATATTGTGATGAAATCCTTAGCAATGAAAGTGAAGAAATTTGCCAAGATAAACCCTGCCATATTTCTGATGAACAAAATATTACTATAATCGATTCCAGTGATGAAGAAGACTGTGATGCAATTATTGATAAAGACAACAACCATGATGCAATTATTGATGAAGAAGAAGGCCATGATATAACTATTGTAGAAAATGAAGAAGTTCTTGTTTTTACAATAGATAAGCAGTGAATATATTGAAAGTTTTATAATATTTTTAGTAATAAAGTTATAGATAGTCTTGCTATTAAACTACCAGTATTTTAAAATTTATTTACCGGTATTAATATTGCTGTAATGATAAACAATTAAAATATTTCTAATAGGCATGTATGTTCCTATAATATAAAAAAAAACTATGTTACGATATATAGGCGAAGGAAAAGAGAATTAAATATCTCATACTATATTCTAGTGATTAAAAATTGCTTTGCTTTACTTAATTATGACATTACACCCAGTTGACCTTTGTTATTAGAAATATTTCTATTTTATCAAGAAAATGCAATAATATCGAATAAAAAGCATATAGAACTAATCGATTTATATACTAGTGACTATTCTTATTAGTTCTGGGTCAAAATTTGTAGAGTCGAATGTATGGTATAAAGGTTTTCAAAATTGGGGGGTTGCTTATATTTGGTAACTAATAAATTTTCTAATTTCTCTCATTTTTGGTGCCCCAAATCTGGGGGGTTGCTTTTATTCGGTGGTTGCTTCTATTCGGTAGCATACGGTAAATACTTTTCAAAATTCTAGGCAAATTTGCCTGGAAAACAGTTGAAGGAATAAGAAATAATAAGAAATAATAAGAAATATTAAGAAATATTAATAAATATTAATAAACATTAAAAAATATTAAAAAATATTAAGAAACATTAATAAATATTAAGAAATATTAAGAATTATCAAGAAATATATAGTAAATCTATTTCTTGATTATCTAGCTAACTAATAGTTTATTCATCATATATTGTAGCTCATTTTGATCGTTATAATCTTCTGGATCTAATAAAGATAAAATCTCTAACATGTTCTATAATATTAACACATTCTATAACAATAGTATTCAACACAACTCTTTCTGATAATCACCTGTACTAAATTTTTTCTACAAAAATTTTCTAACTATCTTAAATATAAATTTAAAATACTTTTATTAAACATGATGGAAAGAAGATTATGAGGTTTTGTAAAATAGTATTTATTATTTAAAGGTAGTTCTTATATACTATCTGCTGATAGACTTAGAGTTTATTACTTATTGCTAGGGTAGCACCTGTAGCTCTTATATACTATTTGCTGACTTGTTTAGAGTTTATCACTTACTAAGTCTAATATCTGGCCTTACTCAAAGTCTTAAATTAGTTAAAACTTATTTTATTCTTATAGAAAAAGATATAGTCGACTCCCTCTAAGTGCATATTGCCGAGACCAGTACTTTGATCTGCATTTAGAAAGAACCTGCAATTAGAGAAAAAAATAAAATCTTTAAAAATTAATAAGTTTTGATCTATTAGTCCAATTTGGATGATTTAATTACAAAAATGATCCTCTTATAGAGTTGTTTCCAATGAATCTAAAATTAGCTAAATCTAATTATATAATTTTGCTTAAGATCATCAATAATTTGTATTATATTTACTATAGTAAATATAATATAAAATATTAAAGATCTCGAGATCATGTAATTAGATTTGGTTGATTTTAGATTCATTAAAATCACCTCTATGAGAGAATCATTTTAGTAGTTAAATTATCCAAATTGGATAAATAAATCAAAAGTTATTAATTTTTAAAGATTTATTATTTTTATAATAATAATTTTTATAAAATATTATATTATTACTAGTTGTAAACCCATGCAATAATGCACAGGAATAAACTTATAAAATTTTTAAATATAATTTTAAAATAAAATA